GTCATTTTGTCTAAATAAGAGCAAGTAGTAATTAGTAATAACAAAGATAAATCTAAACTACTTTTTCAGTGAAGAATACACTGTATAACTAATACATGTTACTAATTGTCATCCTCTCATCCTATAGCCTATCCTATCCTCTTATCCTATATGTTACATTATAAACTAAAGACTTTTGCGTCAGAATTAATTTTGATAAAGCAGTACAATAGACATAATAGATATATGTCTCTTCTAACGCTATTCTACTTTACTAACATAGGTGCCCCTCCATATAGATCACTGGCATCCAACTTTTTCACCATCGAAGTACCTATTTTTTTAGATTAATTTTCACAAGACTAGAACAACCACCACGCCTTAAAAAAGTAAATATCAAAGTTTACCTTTAGCAACCATCTGATGCAGACCTTTACGATAGGGTTGAATTTACAACAAACTAAAGACACAATCACCCCTAATCCCGTCTAATCCAGACCTCCATCTTCCCCTTAGCCTTTCTAATGACACTAGCTGGTCGTCCCGCTGGCCTTTAACCCAAGGACATCTTGTATCGTGTTGCATAGGGACTTTAATCATTGCAATTCAACAAGAGGCCGTGACTGATTTCAGAAACAGTTGAGAGTCCCGCCATTAGCATGAGTTTCCGCAGGCTTCTTGAAGTAAAGGAGGGTGATGATGAGGATGAAGGTGAGGATGATGATGTAGGTGAGGATGAGGATGATGCTAATAATGATGAGGAGGATGAAGCCGATGATGATGAAGATGACAATAAGGACGAGGCAGACGAGGAGGGTGATGATAATGAGGAGGAGGAAGAGGAAGAAGGTGATGATGAGGATGATGACAATGATGGTGCTGTGATGACGAAGACGACGGTGAGGAAGCTGGGGATGAAGAATGAAGAGGAAGAGGAGGACGCTGGTGATGAGGATGAAGATGAAGAAGCTGATGAGGATGAAGAGGAAACTGGTGACGATGATGAGGAGGACGAAGATGAAGATGAAGCTGCTGAGGATGAAGATGAAGCTGATGATGACGAGGACGAAGATGAAGATGAGGAAGAGGAAGAAGAAGCAGCTGAGGATGAGGAAGAGGAAGAGGAAGCTGAGGATGAAGAGGAAGCAGCTGAGGATGAGGATGAGGACGAAGATGAAGATGAGGAAGAGGAAGAAGAAGCAGCTGAGGATGAGGACGAAGATGAGGAAGAGGAAGCTGAGGATGAGGATGAGGACGATGATGAGGAAGAGGAAGAAGCAGCTGAGGATGAGGACGAAGATGAGGAAGAGGAAGAGAAGCAGATGAGGATGATGACGAGATGAGGAAGAGGAAAAGCAGCTGAGGATGAGGACGAAGATGAGGAAGAGGAAGAAGAAGCAGATGAGGATGATGACGAAGATGAGGATGAGGAAGAGGAAGAAGAAGCAGGTGAGGATGAGGAAGAGGAAGAAGCAGCTGATGAGGAAGGAAGAGGAGGAAGAAGCAGATGAGGATGAGGATGAGGACGAAGAGGAGGAAGAAGCAGATGAGGATGAGGACGAAGATGAGGAAGAGGAAGAAGAAGCAGATGAGGATGAGGAAGAAGCAGCTGAGGATGAGGATGAGGAGAGAGGATGAAGAGAGATGAGGAAGAGACAGAAGGAGGAAGAAGCAGCTGAGGATGAGGATGAGGAGAAGGATGAGGAAGAAGATGAATGAGACGAAGCAGATGAGGATGAGGAAGAAGCAGCTGAGGATGAGGATGATGAGGAAGAAGGATGAGGATGAGGACGATGATGAGGAAGAGGAGGAAGAAAGCAGGATGAGGATGAGGACGAAGATGAGGAAGAAGCAGATGAGGATGAGGACGAAGAGGAGGAAGAAGCAGATGAGGATGAGGACGATGATGAGGAAGAAGAGGAAGAAGCAGCTGAGGGATAGGACGATGATGATGAGGAGAATGAGGAAGAGGAGCTGAGGATGAGGACGAAGATGAGGAAGAAGGAAGCTGAGGATGAGGACGAAGATGAGGAAGAGGAAGATGAGGACGAAGATAGGAAGAGGAGCGAAGATGAGGGAGGAAGAGGAAGCTGAGGAGGCTGAGGATGAGAGATGAGGAGAAGATGAGGATGAGGAAGCTGAGGATGAGACGAAGAATGAGGAAGAGGAAGCTGAATGAGGATGAGGACGAAGATGAGGAAGGAAGGCGAGGTGAGGACGAAGATGAGGAAGAGAAGCTGAGGATGAGAAGATGAGGAAGAGGAAGCAGCTGAAGGATGAGGATGAGGACGAAGATGAGGAAGAGATGAGGATGGGACGAAGATGAGGAAGAGAAGAAGCTGAGGATGAGGATGAGGAAAGATGAGGAAAGGAAAGATGAGGATGATGATGAGGACGAAGATGAGGAAGAGGAAGCTGAGGATGAGGACGAAGATGAGGAAGAGGAAGCAGCTGAGGATGAGGATGAGGACGAAGATGAGGAAGAGGAAGCAGCTGAGGATGAGGATGAGGACGAAGATGAGGAAGAGGAAGCTGAGGATGAGGACGAAGATGAGGAAGAGGAAGCTGAGGATGAGGACGAAGATGAGAAGAGGAAGCTGAGGATGAGGACGAAGATGAGGAAGAGGAAGCTGAGATGAGGACGAATGAGGATGAGGACGAAAGAGGAGAGGAGAGAATGAGGATGAGGACGAAGATGAGGAAGAGGAAGCTGAGGATGAGGATGAGACGAAGATGAAGAAGAGAAGCGATGAGGACGGATGAGGAGGAAGAAGAGCTGAGGATGAGGATGAGGACGAGAGATGAGGAAGAGGAAGAAGCTGAGGATGAGACGAAGATGAGGATGAGGATGAGGGAGAAGAGGAAGAAGAGGAAGAAGAAGAGGGATGAGGACGAAGATGAGGAAGAGGAAGAAGAAGCAGCTGGATGAGGACGAAGATGCAGCGATGAGGATGAGGACGAAGATGAGGAAGAGGAAGCAGCTGAGGATGAGGACGAAGATGAGGATGAGGAGGAAAGAAGCAGCTGAGGATGAGACGAAGATGAGATGAGGAGGAAGAAGCAGGATGAGGATGAGGACGAAGATGAGGATGAGGAAGAAAGCTGAGGATGAGACGAAGCGAAGAAGCAGCTGAGGATGAGGATGAGGACGAAGATGAGGATGAGGAAGAGGAGGAAGAAGCAGCTGAGAGAGACGAAGATGAGGATGAGGAGGAAGAAGCAGCTGAGGATGAGGACGAAGATGAGGATGAGGAGGAAGAAGCAGCTGAGGATGAGATGCAGGATGAGGACGAAGAGGAGGAAGAGCAGATGAGGATGAGGATGAGGACGAAGAGGAGGAAGAGCAGATGAGATGAAGATGAGAGAGGAGAAGCAGCTGAGGATGAGGATGAAACGAAGATGAGGATGAGGAAGAGGAGGAAGAAGCAGCTGAGGATGAGGATGAGGAGGAAGAAGCAGCTGAGGATGAGGACGAAGAAGCAGATGAAGATGAGGATGAGGAAGAGGAAGAAGCAGCTGAGGATGAGGATGAGAGGAAGAAGAGATGAGGAGAGGAGATGATGAGAAGAGAGGAGAAGCAGCTGAGATGAGGACGAGATGAGGATGAGGACGAAGATGAGGAAGAGGAAGCTGAGGATGAGGACGAAGATGAGGAAGAGGAAGAAGCAGCTGAGGATGAGGATGAGGATGAGGACGAAGATGAGGATGAGGAAGAGGAGGAAGAAGCAGCTGAGGATGAGGATGAGGACGAAGATGAGGATGAGGAAGAAGCAGCTGAGGATGAGGATGAGGACGAAGATGAGGATGAGGATGAGGAAGAAGCAGCTGAGGATGAGGACGAAGATGAGGAAGAGGAAGCAGCTGAGGATGAGGATGACGAAGATGAGGATGAGGAAGAGGAAGAAGAAGCAGCTGAGGATGAGGACGAAGATGAGGAAGAGAGAAGAAGCAGCATGAGGAGAAGATGAGGATGAAGAAGCAGCTGAGGATGAGGACGAAGATGAGGAGAGGAGAGAAGCACAAGAGGAAGAGATGAGGATGAGGACGAAGATGAGGAAGAGGAAGCTGAGGATGAGGACGAAGAGGAAGAAGAAGCTGCTGAGGTTGAGGATGACGATGATGAGGATGAGGAAGAGGGAGAAGAAGCAGCTGAGGAAGAGGATGAGGACGAAGATGAGGAAGAGGAAGAAGCAGCTGAGGAAGAGGAGGAAGAAGCAGCTGAAGATGAGGATGAGGACGAAGATGAGGATGAGGAAGAGGAAGAAGAAGCAGCTGAGGATGAGGACGAAGATGAGGAAGAGGAGGAAGAAGCAGCTGAGGGTGAGGACGAAGATGAGGAAGAGGACGAGGATGAAGGTGAGGAAGAGGAAGAGGAAGCAGCTGAGGAAGAGGACGAGGATGACGAGGAGGAAGAGGAAGAGGCCGTTGGCGAAGAGGGGGATGAGGACGAGGACGAAGAAACCGACGACGACGTTACAGATGACGCAGAAGACGAAGGTGAAAATGAAAATAAAAAAAGAGAGAAAAATAGAGAGAGGGGAATATATCGGAGCCATGGGAGGACAGACCTCTCCTCCTCATCCTGTGGCGTTTGGCCTCCTTTGTCTAAAATGTATCCACTTTTCATGTACTTCTGACGACCCTACCAACTCCCTTTGACAAGTACAGCCATAATAACGAAGAAATGTCACGAAATCTGCATATTTTCTTGCAGTCGTTAAGAGTAGCAATCTGCTTTTAAGAATTGATTTGGATTCCTGTCTTTTAAAGAAAATCCTGAGAACTTATTGGCGTATTTCAACACATCGCTCTCATCCGAACTGCAGTGTCACGATGACTTTGCAGTTTTCACGAACCTCTGAATAGTTTACCTTGATTGTCTCCATTCCATGAAATTTTTGATTCGATAAGTTGACCATTTGATTAATCAGTAACCTTGGAGTATCCTACTTTGTATGATATTAGTATAGATTTAAACGTAAACTTTCCACACAGTAACCTGTCACAAATTGACCTTGTGTTTGCTGCTCAAAGAACTCATCCTGTAGTAAACCTGTAAGGATTTTTTTTGACGTGTGTGGGCATTGTTTCACCCTGCTTCTGTGCATGGGCCTTGTGCGATGTTCTCCCTTTTTTGTTGTATTTATTCATTTATTCCTTTTTTTGTTTTGTTTTGTTTTGTATTTGGACAAAATCTTGACAGTTTTGTGTGAGATTTCAATTGCGCATGGATGTGAAGATGCATTTTCTTTTTTTTTTCTTTTTTGTTGTTGTTGTTGTTGCTAATTTATTATTTTAGTTTTATATGTTGCTTGATGATTTTTCTATATATATATATATATATATATATATATATATATATATATATATATATATATATATATATATATATATATATATATATATATGTATAAGAAACATGAACAGGATTCTTGGCTGACCTGTTGGGAAAGTTTTTCCCAAGTGGAGGAAATGTGATGACAGATTCCCTCCGTGCGCATTCGAAGTAAAGGGGAGTGATGTGGAACAGGACAGTTCGCACCTTCTCCCAGCCGGGGCCACAGTCGAAGATGCTTGGTATGGCAGACTTAGTGTGTCTGCAGATGGTGCTACTCTGAATCAAGAACATGTCATACCTATTGGAATGAAGTAATTTTCACAGTGATATTTTATGCTAACATTGCTGCAGATATGTCCATTCCCTACCGTTGATTTGGACACTGGAAGTGATACAAAATTCTGTGTGTGTCACCTGCTTTGCGCAAACTTTTCATCGTAACCCACAGTCAGATTCGATCCTGTTTGCAAAAGTCTACGCACCTTGATCACTGGCGTACTAAAGCAAAGTCTGCGGATGGATATCGGTTTTGAATCGATCATACGCGCAGGTGGCTCTATCTTCATTCTGTTCAACAAATTCATGGACTCAGTACAGTAATTGCAATATCATTGAAAGTATTTTTACCTGCATGGTGCTCATCTGCTTTGTGCACCTGCGGATCAAGGTGCGTAGAAGCGAAGGTTCGAATCCGACCTTGGCTTATAACTTCTTGTCATAGATAACATCTGACTCTCTACACTTGTTCAGAAAGGATTCTATCATTGGAATGGCCCTGTCTGAAGCCATAGACAACTCTGCCGAACTGATTCCACCTATAGGACAATTTCTGACGGAGGAATCTAAGGGTCGACAAGATGAGCCAAAGCTGCAGCAGATTTCCGCTGTCCTAGAGAGACCCATGGCACAGTGAGGAACACAAAGCCATTTTCAATATGAATCACCAAGTATATAGTCATTTATAACTGTCAAGATTCTTTCATATACTTGGTCTCTTTAATGGCTTAGAATGCTACAAACTATATTTTCAGTGTGAAATCCTCTTTCACAATTAGACTTTTCTCCGAGGAATGAGTGCACTGACTGCCTTGCTCTTTGTCACTAGGCAATGGCACTGGATATGATTTTTGGTGGAATTATGCAGTGACGCAATGATACTGCGATGTGGCTAACTGGCCTGACGAAGATACGATCCCTTAGTACAGGATGAACCCAGAGTATGTGGCTTTAAGACTACCGAGTCCCCATTACCATTACAATATATATATATATATATATATATATATATATATATATATATATATATATGGATATATATAGATATATAGAAATAGAATATAGTATATATGATATTTTTTTTATCAGGAATGATTATATATTTTAATGAGAACTTGGCTGATGTTGACAAGATCTTAGAAATATTGACAAATACGTCATATTAGCCAATATTTTTTTTGCTGATACAATGACCTGGTCAATGTACAAAGATAGTATTTTCCTGAGCAATGTAAGACCCTTACGTGTAAATCCTCACTGTCAACACTCAATTAGTCTTCAAGCTTACTTAATCTTTAGTCTTAGTCTTACTTAATTAGTCTTTAAGCTGCTTACTCTGAGATTCGAAACCATGTCAGCGAGGTTAGTTCTACAGCTGCATATATGGTGATACAATATACGTCTCCATGACAGCGTGTTTTTAACGTTTTTTGTTCTGTGGACACGGAGAAGACTTTTTCTACCGCGTAATTCTTCTACCAAGAACATGATTTTTACAAATAAATTCATCAATTTTCATGCCTATATATATATATATATATATATATATATATATATATATATATATATATATATATATATATATATATACACACATATAGGGATGTATGCATACTCATCAATAACTGAAATTATGATTACGTATTTTTGGAAATAATAATTCATAGCTTTCCATTTTCCAAATGAATTAACTGCCAGGAATTCCGTAATTGTAAGTGAATTCAATGCATACAACGAATTCCACGAATACAGTAACAAGAATACCATAGCCCTAGACACCACACCGCAGCCAGCCGATAAACGAACCCAACCGGGAGCGTAGACCCACTGTGTACACAACGGCCCACGCTCCCTCCCACTCACACACCCCCCCCCCCCCCCCGCGCCCCCTCTGACGCATTTCCCCGAACAGGTGACATCCAAGCCGAGGAGGATGTGCTGGAGTGGCTGATCGAGCAGAGGCACGAAGACACCATTGAGAACATCAACAGACAGCTTCTCTACACGCTTATCGATACTCAGGATTACCTCGCTGTCTATTTCTGTGAGTGGCTTGTGGAGGAACCAGCATCTGATTTCGTTTTTGCTTACGTTGTGATGGTCTCAAGCTTTTTTTTTAAGTTTTGTTATTGAATTATGTTTGTTATGATAAGTTTTGTTGGTGATATCATTAGAGGAAGTAATGTTAGGATTTTGTTTTTATTGCTTTCGTTTTTGTGAGTATCAATACAATCAGAATTATTATCAACAGTAATAGTAGCATTAATGATAACTATTACAACAGAGAGAGCATTGATATAATCGTTGCCGTTACTGTCATATCCCTAATAGAAGTATTAGTATTAATCGTAGTAGTGTTAGAAAGCATCTGTAAAAGTGTTTTCATTATTGTTGCTATGCTCTTTTCCACAATGATCATAATGATAGATGATTACTATTATTATTTCTACCTTCAATTGTTATTGAAAAGTTGTATTTTTTAATGTTTACTCTGACTCTAATATAATGTTTTTACTCTCCCTTCTTTCTCCCATTTGCTCTTTCTTTCTCCTCTCATATCAACTCTTCTTATTGTCTTTCTTCTTTGCACTATCTTCCTTCTCCCACATCTTATTTTTCCCCTGCCTTCATTTTCCTTTTTCCTCTTTCTTTCTTTCCTCCCCATCGCATCTCCCCCCCTACTCCCTCCCCCCATCACACACCACTACTCCCCCTCCCTCACCCCACCACCTCTCTCCCCCACTCCCTCCCCCATCACACACCCCTACTCCTTCCCCCATCACACACACCCTACTCCCTCTCCCCATCACCTCTCTCCCTCTACTCCCTCACCCCACTACCTCTCCTTTACTCCCTCCCTCCCCTTGCCCCCACCCCCCCACCACTCTCCCCCACTCCCTCCCCCACCACCTCCTACCTCACCCACCACCTCTCTCCCCCACTCCCTCCCTATCACTCCCCCCACCACCTCCCTCCTTTACTCCCACCCTTCCCCTACTCCCTCCCCCCACCACCTCTCTCCTCCACTCCCTCTCCCATCACACACCCCTACTCCCTCACCCCCACCACCTCCCTCCATCCCCCTGCTCCCCACCACCTCTCTCCCCACTCCCTCCCTCCAACAGTCAACGAGGAGAACGACGAGTGTCCCAAGGTGCTGCGCGTGTTGGAGAAGATCGACGACGAGGCGGCCGAGTACGGGATACAGCTGGTGAAGATGAACGACAGACTCATGGCCAAGAAGTACGGCTTCAGGAACCCCCCGGGACTCGTGTACTTCAGGAAGGGCAAGCACACAAGTACGAGGGTGAGTAAAAGGTGGGGGTGAGTAGGGGTAGTGGGAGGGGAGGAGAAGTGGAAGGGTGAGGTGAAGAGGGGAAGGTGGGGTGGAGTGGAGGAGGGAAGGGAAGGTGGGGTGGAGGTAGTGGAAAGGGGAAGAGGTGGAGGAGGAGGTGGGTGGAGAGATGGAGAAGGAGGTGGAAGAGGATAATGAGAGGTGGAGATGGTGGTAGAGGAGGAGGTGGATGAGGGGAAGATGGAGGTTGAGGAGGAGGAGGAGGTACAGGTGGAAGATGATAATGGAGGTGGATGAGAGGAGAGGAGGAGAGAAAGGAATAGAGGAGGAGGGGGATGGAGGTAGATGTGGAGATGGAAAAAGAAGGGTTGGGGAAAGACAGAGAAAGTGGGCAGGTGGAGGAGGTGATAGTGTAAAAAACAAGGATCTAGGAGGAAGACGGAATAAGGATAGATAAGATGATATATAAAAGGAGAGGATAGTATCTACTTACATTTACCTGCACGTACACACACACACACACACACACACACACACACACACACACACACACACACACACACATACACGCACACACACACACACGCACACACACACACACACACACACACACACACACACAAACAAACACACATAACCCCAGCTATCACTTAAGAACCATATCAGGTGCCCACCATCCCCCCCCCCCCTCACCCGACCTTGACCTTGACCCAGCGCCCTCCTTCTGCAGGTGACCTCTACGACGACGAGGACGTGCTGGACTGGCTCACGGCCCCCGAGAACATGGAGCTCAACGACGCCATCGAGAAGGTCAACAGGAAGATGTTCGAGAGGATCAAGCAGACCACAGACTATCTGGCCGTCTTCTTCTGTGGGTTTTTAAGATGTTTTGGTTTTCTTTGCTCTCCTGCTCTCCATTTTTTTGTTTTTGTTTTTTTAATGTTTTCTCATGTTTCTTTTTTTTCTTTGTTGGATATTTATCAGTGTGTTTTGTGTTTTTGTATTCTTTATTTTTTCCTAAATGTCTTGTTTAGTTTCTTTATGTTTCTTTGTCTCATTCTTGTATTTTTTCTTTCTTTAATTAATTATTCATTTATTTTGTACTTCTGTATTATTCTTAATTTTTCCCCAAAGGTCTTGTTTAGTTTCTTTATGTTTCTTTGTCTCATTCTTATATTTTTTCTTGCTTTGATTATCTATTTATTTTGTGTTTCTGTATTTTTTTTTTCTATTTTTCCCAGATGTCTTGTTTAATTTCTGTATGTTTCGCTTTCTTGTGTTATGTTTTTCACTCTCTCTCTCTTTGTTTAATTTCTTCCATCCTCGTTTTGGTTGTTGTTTGACTTATATCTGTTTCTCCTTATCATTATTTAACTAATCATTTGCACTACATATATGGACGATCAGTGGGTATTACATTTCATATTTTCTTTCTTAGACAAAAAAAAATCAATACTCCAGATATTAAATAAAAAAAATCTAATGATGCATAACAACAAAAATATAATCAAATACAACTAAAAACATCATTAACCCCCCACGAGGCATAAAATCACCCCCCCCCCCCTTTTTCTCCCGCAGACGCCGAAGAAGGCTGCAAACAGTGCCAGAAGGTCCTCGCCGAGCTGGAGAACATCGACGACGAGGCCGACGCCAACGGGATCGACTTCGTGAAGATCGACGACTCCCAGCTGGCGAAGGAGGTCGGCGTCTTCGCTCTCCCGGCCATCGTCTTCTACCGCGCAGGCTCCGAGGAACCCATCATCTACGCCGGTGCGTGGGCCTTCTTCGGGAGGGGGTGGTGTGGGGGGGGGAGGGGTGGGGGTGGTGGAGGTGGAGGGTGGTCTTTTCTTGCATAATTTAAAAAGTCTTCTTCTTCTTCTTTTTATTCTACTAGTTCTTTTTCTTATTATTATAATTATTCGTCTTTTTTATTTTCTTCCTTCGCTTCTACTTTCGTATTCGTCTTTTTCTTCTTCTTCTTCCTCATCATCAATAAATGCAATAGTATTAGCTCTACTCCTGCCTCTCGTCTCTTTCATTTGTTCATTACTCTTCAATTCTCGCCTTGTTTATTTTCCTTCTTCTCCTTCGCCATCTAGGAGAGGAAAGAAAGAAAAATAAGCTTCTCTGTTGTACATAGCGGGCCAAAGCTTTTGTCATTGTGATTTTGCACTTGCTGTTATTCTTCATAATAAGACATACAGATAATTACAAAAACCTCCTTCATTACCTATTATCTATAGCTTTTTAAAATTCGCTATCTGCTTTTCTTCAGCACTCTTTTTTCTTTTTTTTTCTTTACTTACTATTACATCATCCTCATTTAGAATGCATTTTCATTAGATGAGTTCCAACGTTTTATAGAAACGATTTATTTGAAAATAGAAAAATATAGCTACTGGAGCATTAGGTAGATATATTTTGTATGTAATAACGTAAAAAAAATCATGAATGATTACTGATCAATAGTATTTTAACACATATGACTACGTGACTTTAGCGATAACAATAGTTGCACCACTTTTATTCGTCTAGAGCATGTCTATTCAAACATATTTTTTCTTACATGAATACTTTAGTAAAAGGACATAGTGACTTAACATGTAGTCTCAATAAAGTTCTTATTGACTCAGCAACATGACTAATTTCTTTTACAGAAAATATAACAATTACGAGGACTTCATTAGGATAAAAAAAAAAATCATAGGTATTGAGATGAAACCACAAACATGTCTACAATGACCGACTGTTTTGTGTTACTAATGCTGTCATTTCATTTTTTCTCTCTCTCCCAATCGCTGCCTTTCCTTCGCCTTCGTGACCTCGTCTGACCTCAGGTGGTAGGTCACTCCATGGGTCAGGGCTCCGTCCCTCGCCCTCGTATGGATGGTCTTAGTTCAGTTCTCTGTCGCTTGCAACGCCCTGTAGTCAAGATTTCAAGGCCGTTGTTCTCGATGTCTGTACTTGGGATATTTATTTTTCTAACGTAATTTTAACTTTTATCATTCATTGTATGAATTCGTATGCCATGTTTTGTATTGTGAATAGATTTATATTCTGTACATGGGATTTTATTTTTCTAATTTAACGTAACTTTGACTTTTGATTAATCGTATGAATTTCTATGCCATGTTTTATATTGTAAACAAACTGGTATGATACAAATATTCCCGAGTATAGCTGTGAGAAATGTGTCTTCATTTGTCTCTATAGCATGCCGTGTTTACCCTTTTCATCCGTTCAGACTGTTCATTTCGGTCAGCGTGTCCGTTCATGCCAAGTGTCAATGGCACTGCCTGACATCATTCCTATGCTCTCTGACGTCGACCACCTGTCACGGCGGAGTCTTGGCCGAACGGAGGTCAAGATGGCTGTCCAATTTCCTGAAATGTTGAGAACCCGTTTTCTGTTATGATGGATATGGTTTACCCCTTTTTGTCATGTTTATATTGATTTCTATTCCTGCACGATTCGAATCTGGACTTGCAGCGTTCATGTAGTGCCGTTTGTAAAGCGTTTTAATCTTTCTTAGAGATTTCTTTACGTCTCATTGCCCGTTTCTGCGTCTACGAACGAACAGATGGCGCTACGTCAACACTGCAACCAAACCGGAAATGTACCTTCGTGTTAACAAAACTGCCAACTGCGGGCGCTCATTGTCCTATTCTCATTAAAGTCGACTTCTCTGATCTACCTTCTGTAACAAACGCCCTTATTCAAAGCACGATTCAAGATTTCGCACCAGCACGACCCTCAAGTTCCTTCCCCTGTGGTTGCCTCCTCTTCGGGCATTTGGTGATCGTTCCCTCATGTGTGGAATTCATGACGAACAGATTGCAACAGGAACAGCGAAGGAAAGGGCAAGAAAACACACGAATATGTCGAAGGCCTTTTCGCTTTATTGCTTCGTCAGGGCATACGACGGAGCAATAGCCCTGACCTGCCCTGACGAAGCAATAGCGAAAAGGCCTCCGGCATGTTCGTGTGTTTTCTTGCCCTTCCCTTCGTTGTTCTCGTTCCCTCATGTCATGTTTCTTTGCGGTGTCTTTTTATTTTGGTTTCCGTTCTCCCGTTATCCCGAAAAGCACGGAAAAAAATCCTTTATATATTTATTTAGTCGTAAGGTTCCGTTCCTATTCATTCCATATGTCACAGGATGAGTAAAAATATAAGCAAGGATGCATGTGTAGCATTGATCATTATTATAATGCTGTTGTATAACGCACAAAATAAAGTGCTGTAGCATTGTGTCTAATTAGATATCTATTGCACAGTATATATTGGTGCTATTGTAAAAAATCTTGGTAATCCTAAATTTTGTTATTAGTAGCCTTAACCCTTCACTCGTTGTAAATATTTCATGCTGTACAAAGTAGATAAAACAAGACCTGATGCTAAAGTTGACTCCATTACTCATCTTCATTTAAAACAGTTATGCTTATTTCGAAGTATAATTAAAGAGAAACAAACAAAATAATGCAATAAGAAGCCAATGAGAATAACCCCTTATTACATTTAATCTTAGAAGTTACTCCAAACATAGAGAAAATACACACGTGATCAACATATCTCCTCATACAAACCCACACAAATAACTATCCTATAGCAACCATAAACATAAAATATAAAAATATTATCAAACACTAAAAAATTCCTGTGACTGTTATATTACCAGCATAATTATATATAATATAATTCGTTATCCCTCTCTCTCTCTCTTTCTCTCTCTCTGAATTTCCTTTCGTCGGGGAATAGGCGATATGAAGAACGAGGAGAACCTTCTGTCGTGGCTTCTGACGGAGAAAGACCCAACAGCTGACTTCATCGAGGACATGTATGGAGACGCCCTCTTGAGAGTCATCAGGGATTCAGATGCTATCGCTGTCTATTTCTGTAAGTCTTGTTCAGTTCACGGTTCTGTTTCTACGTCCCTTCTCTTTCTTTCTTTTTTCTTCCTCTCTCTCGCTCTCCCTTTCTCTCTCTCGGTCTCTCCTCTCTTCTCTCTCTTTCTCTCTCTCGCTCTCGCTCTCGCTTTTGCTCTCGCTTCTCTCTCTCTCGCTCTCTCTCTCTCTTCTCTCCTCTCTCTCTCTCTCCTCTCTCTCTCTCTCTCTCTCTCTCTCTCTCTCTCTCTCTCTCTCTCTCTCTCTCTCTCTCTCTCTCTCTCTCTTCTTTCTCCCCCCCCTCTCTCTCTATCTATCTATCTATCTATCTATCTATCTATCTCTCTTTCTCTTTTTCTCCCCTCCCCTCTCTCTCTCTCTCTCTCTCTCTCTCTCTCTCTCTCTCTCTCTCTCCTCTCTCTCTCTCTCTCTTCCTCTCTCCTCTCTCTCTCTCTCTCTCTCTCTCTCTCTCTCTCTCTCTCTCTCTCTTTGTCTCTCATTTATTTGCATTTATTCTCCAATTACTTTTAGATATAGATATTCTTATCAGTCATAGATTGTATTCTCTTTTTCTCCCCTCCCCTCTCTCTCTCTTCCTCATTCCCTTTATCTCTCTTTTAAAATCTATTCCATAATCATTTTTAAAGATTTCAGAACTCGACAATCAAAATCTTAAATTCTGTGATTAGCATTAACATAATTTTACTCCTGTACATATATTCATTGTACACGCCTGTAAATACTTTGTATGAAAATAATGATACCACCAAAATAAGATTTTTAAAAATGTTACTTTATTTATTTATTGATTTATTTTAGAATTACGTTAACTCTGCCGTTATGGTAATACAGATTAATCTGTTACCTGATTCTGGTCGTGAGAATCTATGTTAATTTCTCACATTTTTTCAAATTCAGTCAGATTTATGCCATCGGCAAATGACAAGAGTATCTCTCTTAATCTCCTACGATTTGATAAACTGTGCAAATCTATCCATCATTCCATTTTTATCAACCCTGAACGTCTTTGTGACACCATGCTTATACCCGTCATGTCTGTGCTTGCACCTGTCTCATCAATACTTTCATTGATGTCATACTTGCATGTGTGATATCACTCTTACGTTCTGCACCCTCTGACGTCACGATTCTCACTCTGACGTCATGACTCCTCCCACCTCTCCACGGACTTTCCTCGACGTCTTGTCCAAAATCTTACGAGTGTTTCCTCCTGTTTCTCGAAGGGGACCCTGTCTCTTGCGGTTGTCCCGAAACGCCAGTCGAACCCGAGAAGAAAAAGAAGAAGAGGAGGAAGGCAGACGAAGCTGACCAGGAACAAAGTGAAGATCATTTACTTTCTCTTGTTGTTTACAGTATATTCCTTCGCCCTCCCCTCGCCCCCTGCCTCTCCCCTCCTTTCCCTCTGCCTCACCTTCGCCCAGAGCAGTGTTATTTCACGCCTCTTTGGTCGCCCTTGTAGAAACAGCAGACCCCTCTTGTATTTCCGCCGCAGCACAGCCACACCCTGTAGGAACACGCTACCCGTATGATACCTGACCGTAGTCGTATCGTAGACAAGGCGAAGGAGCTCTTGGAATTACGAAGGGTAACCGAGGAAGAAGAAAAAAAAAGTAGTAAAATAAATGAGACTGCGAGTCCCAGTGCTTTCGTATGGCAGTCCAAGGTCTCCTTCTTGTCCCGACGTCGGCCTTTGGCACCTCGTAGGCACATAGACACCTTTAATTATCATTTCTTGGGAGATTTTGTAGTCTTTTTCGTTTTTATCCACATCCACCCGGTAGACATTGTCTCTTCATTCAGTAGACTTGAGAATGGCCTCCGTATTAACTCTTATGAATCTCCTGAACAGTAGACGTAGTGAGAAGCTTGAGCCTTTGAACAGGTGATTTCAGGACATAACCGAGAGCAATTACCTGTTGTAAGATACCTAATAGCTGTAATAGCTTTAGACAGTAATATATAAATTTTCATTTGCTTATGTTCTACACTAGCTGCAGGTAGCACTAGCCACACTAAACACACTACTAGCAATCAAGCTTAGAATTCTAACCAGATCTAGACTGTGTTTGTTTAATACAGTTCGGAATTAAATTGTGTAGTCTTGTTTCTATTGTTAGTAATTCTAGTTCTATCATGCCAGTCTTGTCTTGAAATGTTACGTCAGTCCAGTTCAATTTGCAGTCTTCTAGTATTTGTAACATGTAGTAAATTGTGTCATTCATGTCTTGAAATGTTTATTGTACGTCAATCCAGTTCACTTCTCTCTTTTAGTATTCGTAACACTTAGTAAATCTGGCAAATGTCATGTCATGTCATGTTATATGTTGTCTGTCTTTACGCATATTAGCAAAGACGTGTCACCCAAAAGTATGATTATTTTCAATGCTATCTACAAAAGATATTGAGAAAGATTGTTACGTGTTCGTACTATATTCTAAATTATTGTTTGTGAAGAACTATAGTAGTATTAGTTGAACAAAATAGCCTAGTTGCAGAGGGTACTATAAATCAATTAGATTTAAATGGGTGAAAAGTCTTGCTGAATATGAAACTATAAAGTATGAACTTGTACTTTGTGAATCGTTCATTGTCTAAACGAGTGTCCTGTGTCACAAGTACATGTTTTCTGGTTACGAGAGAAGCTTTAAGAGAACTTTGTCTTTTTATATAGAACACTTAGGGGATTGACTCATATGATGCATTTTCATGTTTCTAATGAGCTAATCTTGAGTTTTAGACAATGTCTGAGAGCAGACGCCCCCCCCCCCCGCTTTCGAGTCGTTCACACTCTTGCACCGCCTCAGCAGCAACCGGTGTTCTCGTGCACAGTAGAACGTCCACGCACACGCACACACGCTTCCGTCGCGCACATCCACACACACACACACCCCATCTTCTTTCCCTCCCACGACGAGACCGCAAACAAAACGAGAAAATTAATCCGCTTTTCCCCCCCCCCTCATCCTCGCGACAGACAACGAAGACACCAACGCCTGCAGCACTTGCATGAAGGTCCTGGAGGAGCTGGAGAACATCGACGACGACACGGACAGGATCGGCGTCAAGTTTGTCAAGACCCAAGACGCCAAAGTGGCCGAGCGGTACGGCGTGGTCAGCATGCCGGCGCTGCTGTACTTCGAGCACCAGATCCCGACCGTCTACGAAGGCAAGTCGGGGCCCGGGCGGAGGGTCGGTGCGCGGCCGACTCTTGTTTCACCTATTTTTTTATTGATTTTATTATTATTATTATTAGTAGTAGTAGTAGTAATAGTATATTTGAGGAAGATATAATCGAAACCGGTCAAATACATATCTTGTATTATAAAGATATTCATTCTCATTCGTACCTTTCTACATGTCAGCTATTTATTATTATTATTTGTTATTGTTATATTATTATTATTATTATTATTATTATTATTATTATTATTACTATTACTATTATTATATCATTATATTATTATTATTTATTTATCATTATTATTATATTATTATTATTTTTTTTTTTTGGGGGGGGGGCGGTATTTGGACACGAAAGATCTCGAAAATGTGTGAATGAGAATGCATATCACAAGCAACAGATGTATTAGACTTGTTTTCGATTATATTTTCGTCAGATATACCTTTTCTGCATTTGTCTCAATCCGTTGGAGTTCATGAATTATCTCACTATCCGCTGATTTAGGCAAAGGGAAAAACGCAACCTCATCTATATCGTTTTACCGTCTTATAAGAAGTCTACTACGAATAGAATTATCTTGGTATATTTTTTCTTAACTTTTATGGCTGCTTCATTTCAACTTTTTCTTTTCACACGGTATTGCATTTCTGTTGGTGTTCACGGTGGAGTGTGTGTTGCAGGAGACCTGTTGGCGGAGGAGGACGTCCTACAGTGGCTCATCCTTCAGAAGACGGAGGACAGGATTGAGACTATCAACAGAAACATGCTGGAGGTCATGCTCGAAGACACTCAGTACCTCGCCGTGTTCTTCTGTGAGTAGCTCCTCTTACGACGACGAAACCGATATTTGCTCGTTACTTATTTTGTTATTGTTATTATTATTATTATTATCATTATTATTATTGGTTTAATTGGTAATTCGTTGTTTCGGCTGTAAGTAAAAAAGAAAAGAAAAAAAAAATCACAGCTGTCAAAAAAAAGTCTTATTAACATTCATCTCCCGGAAGTCCCAAAACCCACAACTTGATCCCCTCTGCTGACCCCTTTAATCTATCTATCGCCTCTTTTACCCCCCACCCCCCCCCTCCAACACCTCCTTCCTCCTTCCTTCCCCCTCTCCCCCCCCCACCAGACAAGCCCAACTGCCGGGCTTGCGATACCGTTCTGGCGGAGTTGGAGAACATCGACGACGAGTGCGACGTCTACGGCATCCACATGGTCAAGATCCAGGACACGCAGCTGGCCAAACGCTACGGCATCAAGACCCTCCCGGCGCTCATCTACTTCCGCAACGGCAACCCGCTCATCTTTGACGGTCAGTGGAACGTTGCTTCGGTTCTGGGGGGGAGGTGGGGGACTGGTGGAGGGGAGGGGACTGGTGGGGAGGGGACTGGTCGAGAGGAGAAGGAGGTGGATGAGGAGGGACTGGTGGGAGGGAGGTGGTGGGGGGGGGGGACTGGGGAGGGGAGGAGGTGGAGGGTGGGGAGGGAGGGGAGGTGGGGACTGGTGGGAGGGAGGAGGTGGATGAGGAGGGACTGGTGGTGAGGAGGGAGGGACTGGTGGGGAGGGAGGTGGAGAGGAGGGGACTGGTGGGGAGGGAGGTGGAGAGGAGGGGACTGGTGGGGAGGAGGTGGAGGTGGAGGACTGGTGGGGGAGGAGGAGGGGAGGGGGGGGGGAGGGAGAAGGAGGGATGGGGAGGGGAGAAGAGGAGGAGGAGGAGGAAGAGGGACTGGTTAGGAGGACTGGTGGGGAGGTGGAGGGGAAGGGGACTGGAAGCGCAGTAAAAGGATGTGAAAGCAAGGGAAAGAAGATGGGAGGAGAAAGGAATAGGATGAAGGGGGAGGGAAGAAAAGAAGAGAAAAGGATAGACAGGGAAAGGGAATGGAAGGGGATGAGAGAGAAAATGATAGGGAAGGACAGGGATGGTGAAGAGGAAAGAAGAAGGAAAGGAAGAGAGGATGAGAGTGCTGTCAGGGGAAAGATCAAATAATCTTCAGGTTTTCTTTACAGGGATGGTGTGTGTGTGCGTGTGTTGGTGTTGTATGTATGTGTGTGTGTGTGTGTGTGTGTGTTTGGTTATAGCTACATTACTTTGAAGTAAATAAATGTGCAACGACAGGCTATGATAAGACCTTTCAATCTTCTTGTTTTCATAACCGAGTATACTATATAAAAATGTCTTATCGTTTCAAAAAGTCAGGAAAGTTAATTAGGTTTACTGGGAAGAGAAGTTTATGTCTAATATGCAATTTATTTCAGATTCATAACCTGTTATTTCTTTCAGCTGTTTTACGTATTTCTGACCAGACGAATATTAATATCTGATCAGCAAGGTCTAAATACTCGTCCCGGAAGTAGCAAAAGACTAATTACTGTCTATTGTTTCAATCCGCGGATTAAATAAGTTGGAATACTTTCCTCGGTGCAGGAGACAGTAAATCTACATCACTGATAGTGACCAATTAAAAAAAGAAAGAAAGAAAAAGAAAAGAAAAGAAGAAAAAGAAAGAAATATATATATATTTGCTTAATTAATCATTTCAAAACCATTTAATTATATTTTTCATATCTGCCTTTTACATATATTTCATACACAGAAACGAATCTTCAAGCGATCCCATCCCAGATTCCTTTCAGATTTGTTTTCCTTGATTAGATATATACATCTCAGAGATAAAAGACTTGGAGAAGGAGAGCACGTACAAGGCATGACGTCATCCACAGTGTGAGACCCAAGCCACGTATCCCCGAGGCTGTAAACAGAGGCTCATAATTCCTGTTCCTCACAACACACAGTTTCCTTTGGCATCCGGAAAAAAAACAGTGAACACAAGACTTCATCTTTTATTACAGTTTTCTTTTCTCCCTTTTTTTAAATTTAGAATGGCGTTAAGGAGCTAGAATATTGATTTTTTTTCTCCTATTAGAGCATTGCATATAGTTGGCCTGAAAAAAAGCATCAGATTTCTGCACGAGATGAATCGATTTTTCATTTTTTCGTAGGCTTGAATCCTAATTTTTTTTGGATAGATTTATTTGCACTTCCTTTATCAATATATACTCCATTTTATCATTCGTCCGTTTCTATTGTCTCTTTTCATTTTTCTACCTTATCATTTTTTCATGAAATACTTCCTTAAAACCTAAGTACATGCGTTTATACGAATATGTATGAGCATGCCAGTACCCAGCCTTCAAAACACTTAGCACTTCGCTCAGTACTTCCTTTCGTTCAATCCAATACTAAATTTAAATTGACCATAAATCAATTGCGAAGAGACAACATAATAAATAATGGAATAATAAATAATGGAAAGAAGCTAAAATCTGCAAATCCTGGAGACAAAATCACGAATGCAAAATAACTTGGCGACCGTTTCCCCCAGATAACCTCTTTGACGAAGATGCTCTCTATGATTGGTTTACTGACGACGCGAATCGAGAGCTCGATGATGAGATCGAAGACATTAACTCCAATATGTTGGAAACAGTATTAAACGAAGATAATTTTGTCGCTGTCCTGTTCATAAGTAAGCCAAGTGTGTGGCCCCTCCCTTGGTTCCGTTTTTTTTCACTGGTCCCCCCTAAAAAAGTTTCCGAACCCCGTTTTCTTTTTTTTCTTCGTTTTTATTATTTTTTATTCCTTCACTGATACGTTACATTGTTTTCTTCAGATGATCTCGTCTCAGTGGGCACAGATGTGCTGGAATGGCTCTCTGATGAGGAAACTCGTAAATTGGATGATGATATCGAGGAAGTCAATGCGAATATGCTTGACTTTATATTAGCGACTAATCCATACGTTGCTGTTATATTTACGGGTAAAATTTGCTTCTGAAGCAAAAATGTGGATTGAGAAGAATGACCCCCCCCCCTTCCCCCCTCAATTAAGCAACACCTGACGCCCAAAGAAGAAAAGAAAGCAAGAACATACCATATTATTTCGTTCCTTTGTCCCTTTTTATACCAAACTGCAACACATTTTGATGTTCTACCACCCCGTGCTATTTTTCGTTCTTTATGGAAACAGCACATACTTTTGCAAAATATTACCCGCCCCCCCATTTTTATCTTCCTTTCTTTCCACAACGCATGAAAACACATTTTTTCCGTTTTCATCTACTTGTTCTTTTCCCACCTGGACGTCGCCATGTGACCTATTTCCGCCGCCCACCTTTCCCCAGGTGATCTGAGCGTGGAGTCGAGTGTCTACGAGTGGCTAATTGATGATGACAATCGCGAATTGCAAGGCACTATTGAGGAGGTCAATAGGGCTATGCTCAAACGCTTAATTGAATATAACCCGTTTGTCGCTGTCGTCTTTATAAGTAAGAAGGGATATGTTCAACAAAGAAGGATTTCTACGTAATGTTTGGCGGCTACACCCTTTGTACTGATACGCACACAGTAGTAGCATTTTTTTTCCTGTAGTCTAAACAAAGTAAAAAAAAAATGCGTAGAGGGATTTATAAAGGCTTTGGAAAAGACAAGAAGATCCATGCACATATTTTCACTTGAGTTTTCCCTTACCAGTTCCGTTGAGCATGTTGTGCACTGAGGTGTTCCCGCTGTGTGATGGCGTTTCCTTGTGTGATGGATGGGCATGTTTGCCTTTTTTTAAGTTGCCTCTTTTGATACTGACGAGTCTCCAGAATGACCATTTAATTCTATTGACACCAAACCGCTCAACTACCCCCTTTGAAACCGAGGACATAGCATGTATTTTAGTTTACCCACCACTGTTCACACCACGTTTCCCATTTTCTCATTCAGGTGAAATAAAGAGTGGGAATTTTCTCTTGGAATGGTTGAGTGACGATGACAATCGGGAATTAGTTGACGAAATTGAGCACGTAAACCCTGCCATGCTGGACCAACTTGTTGCACAGTCGACCTATTTGGCCGCCTTGTTTTGTGAGTACTTGAAAAAAAAAGTATCTTTGCATACCATTCGCTCTCAGTTCCGCAGCTGAAGTAAACGGTACAAGCTTCTTTGCAGACCTTCCTTTTGTATTTAAATTCCGTGCTCTCTCCTTTTCCGAAATAAGGAAATAAATCATCTTAACTTCCGTGTGAGATGCATGACGTTCATTCACAGCATGGCATTTTAGACCTTTCACCTCTCGTTGATGTAAAAAAATTCATTCCTATTTTGTATTTCATCAACTTTTCAGGTTCTGCAAATGGCAGAGCTCCGTTTGTGTTTCCATTTTTTTTTTACGTTTATTTTTACCCGCCGCCATATTTTTTTTTGTTTAAATGGCAGTGTATCTAAAATCCCTCCACATATTACCCTAAATACCCTAAAAACGCCAATAAATGTTATCTAACCTCTTTTTGTTCACGCATTCCTCTTCCTTAATCTCCCCCCCACCCACCCCCACCCCCCCCAAAAAAAATGCTGGGATTCACGATTTCTTTTAGCATTCCGCTATTTCTTTTTTTCTTCTTAATTTGACGTTTAATTTGCTATTTTGGTTTTGTTCTTTTTTTTTATGTTATATAGGAGATATGCAGAACGAGGTTAGTGTGCTGGAATGGCTGACTGATGATGAGAACCGGGAGTTGGACGGAGAAATCGAGGCTGTTAATGTTAGGATGCTAAAACGCCTCATGGATGAGTCTCCCTTCATTGCCGCTTACTTCTGTAAGTAAAGAAAACGAGAGAGATCGTAGAGCTATTGGAGAAATATTGGAGAAATATCACCCTACACAAGTCGACCAAAAACAAAAAGAAAAAAAAACGAAAAAGAAAGACGTTTTCTCGTATTGTTCCGTGCAAGAAAGGGAGAAGCTAGAAGCACCTCTCGCTCGTTCTCACTTTAGATTGTTCGCTGTCACAATGTATCGACCAAGACCAGAAGACTGAAGGGGCTTGCCAATCTGGTGGTTGCGGTTCTGTCTCGTTTTTCTTCGTTCTTTTCTTCTTTCTCTTCTATTTGCTTCTTCTATCTCTTTGTTTTCGTGTGTCTTTTATGTTCTTATACTGTCGCCTCCTACCTTTTTTCTTTCTAAATCTTTAGTCTTCTTATCCTTCCTCATCTTTTCTTTCGTAGTTGTTTGTGTTTTTCTCCTTCCTCTTTTTTTCTTAATGCTTCGTCTTCTTCTTCATGTTCGTATTTTTCTTCTTTTTGTTCCTTCTTATTTTCTTCTTCATGTTCTTCTTCTTTTCTTTTTTCAATTTCTTTTCCTTCTTTGTTGTATTATTATTATTATTATTATTATTATTATTATTATTATTATTATTATTGTCATTTCACTTCAGTTGAATGCCGTCGAAATTTCGTTTTTGATTCTGAATCTACCACTCTAAAAAAAAAAAACAAAAAAAAACTGTATCATCAGTCAGATAGATAACTTGAATCATCAGTCTTCAGACAAACGTCTCCACTGTCACCAGTTTTATTTTCGTTTTGATATCCTTTTTTCTCTCTTCCTATTTTGAGAAAAGACGTGGTGACCAAACTCCAAACACCAAGTTTTGACTCGAACCTTCATCCAATGTCAATAATACTGCAACTTTATTTAATGTGTTTATTTATTCGTGTATTTTTTTTTTTTTTTTTTTTTGCGTTCTCGTTTGTCCTTTCCCGCAAAATTAACGTAGCCAGCCTCTCCGATAACCTTGAAAAAAATAACAATTAATATCCCATCTAAAATATACCCAGAGAGAGATATAAAGTAAATCTACCAGCATGAGAGATTTCCCCAGATTTGAACCCCAGATTGGCAGTCCTACAACCCAGTGACCGATACACTTGTGTTCAGTGTGTATCAACCCACACAAAAACCGATAATCACTTGCCTACACTTGTAACCAGCCTGTCCTTCCCCCTCTTAGACTGTGCCTCTTTGGTCCTAGCG